CCAATTTTCCAGCCGCCCTCTCACCCTTCTCGGTGACCCGCCGCATCGGCCACCCCTACCAGAACCGGACGCCGCCGAAGAGAAAAAAGCCCCGCACGTCCTTCAGTCGGGTGCAGATCTGTGAGCTGGAGAAACGCTTCCATCGGCAGAAGTACCTGGCGTCAGCTGAGCGTGCCACTCTGGCGAAGGCCCTCAAGATGACAGATGCACAAGTCAAGACCTGGTTTCAGAACAGGCGGACAAAATGGCGGTAAGACTGAAGAAAGGGGAAGGGATGTTTATTTCTGTTTTCCTCACTTCAAATCGGATCCCTTAAAGCAAAACAAAGAGATTTAAGTCATTTTACCTGACAAGGATGTCAGCTTTTACTTCTGTCATAAACTGACAGCTCTGGATGTCACCTCCTTTTTAAACTGCTCACCTACGTCTTACTTTAAGCACAATGGCCTGAAGCTGAAGCATTGAAGAGCTTGTAAAACTCAACACCTATTCTGCTTAGCTTAGCTGCCTGTCGAGGCCGGTTCGCTTGACCAAGCACAATTACTGGTGAGGCTCCTGAAAGGCCTTTTAGAAACCTGCTGTCCAAAGCAATACTGAAACACTCACAGGAGGAGCCGTCTGCCAAATCCATACACACACATACACACACACATGCTTTTTCACTTCATTCTAACTGTTGTTTATAGTCATTTGGAGGTAAACGAGTAGAAAATTAAATTATAATGCCCTGCCCATTGTTAAAGGAGCAGGACGCATATTTCAAAAGCAAATTACAGAGAGCTAAATTACCTTAAGTCATTACCTTAAGGGTTTTTATGTTTAAATGACCCTAATGCTTTTTAAATGACTTTATTTTTTTATAACCGTTGCAGTTAGAAAACAGGTAAAAAGTTTCTGCAGGTTGGAGTAAATTTATTGATACAGTACAAATTTAATACCACCTCCTTTCTTAAATTACAACCACAAACTTGGTTGCATATTTTTGGGATTCTGTGTGGGAGAGAAACATAACATAATGTTTGATTTTGACATGCAAAGAAAATGATGAATAAAGCATGAATTTGAGTTGTGAATTAAAATCTAAAAAGTGTGGCTTAGATTCATTCATATAGTAGAGAGGAAATTACAATTTACAAGTGTCTTATGGCTTTGCAGCTTTACATGTTTATAAACTACAAGTTTTTCTTTTCATTTTAATTTTCTTTTCAAAAGAGTTGCTATGAACATGAATTTGTAAGTATTGGCACAAACTCTCAGTTAGAGTTTGGTCAAACCTTGTCTAAACCAGCTCCTTGCAGCTCTGGCTTTATGTTTAGCTTCTCCTGCTGTCTCTAATCATTTTCCCTTTAACTTTGGAGAGCTTCCCCACAGCATGATGCTGTCAAACTCCATTTCCTAACGAAGCAATGTCTACAGACAATTGGTTGCTTTGAATTTTATTTGGTGCTATAAAAGAGAAGGGGCCTGAATGCAAAATGCAAAAAAAAAAAAAAAGTTTTTCCATCTCGTAGTTATGCATTATTTTAAGGTGGAATGTCAAAAAAATTCCAATACAAAATATTTTAAAGTTTGTTGCTTTTACATAAATTATTCTAAAAAGGTTAGAATGGCATAAATACTTTTGTTAGGTTCTGTAGTTTGTTGTATTTTGCTGCAGAAAAAGAAAAACAAACTGCTTTTACATGAAAATCCTCCAAACAATTACATCATCCAGTCTGAGTCTACACCACCGGTTGTAATAAAATGAGTCTGCTCACAATAAAACACCAACAAAGCGTATCCTGACTGAGCGCCATGTCACAAGCGCAACGGGGGAATTGGCTTAACTCATTTTTCTGATTCCTACTTTTGCTGAGATTTATGCCACGCTCCCCCCGTTAGTCTTGCTTCTGATCGGATGAGCGTGAGGGATGTCTTTGCGTGACGACCACGCTGGTAACAAGACGATGATCGAATCAACAGCCGGGGAATCGGATTATGATAATGCTGTTAACAATAATGTGTGGCTAATGGATGGAGGTTGGTGTGCGTGAAAGAGGGGGTGTTCAGAGGTGTGCTCCTGACTCCTACCTACCATTCAGATTTCGCTGTTGAGCAGCTTTTTTTGTTCACTACTCTCCTTTCTGAAGATTTATTGCTACAATTTGCACAAACATCAAGAACAGAGTCCTAAATTAGTAATGTTTCAAACACGTGATTGATCTGAATGTTAAGGTTAGTTCTTTAATCATATAGATTCTAAATAAAATCAATATTTCACCTACATCCAAGGAGAAACGGAGGTACATTTAGGAACTCAAATATCCCCATGTCAGTATTAGCTCCTCCACTAATGGTCCTACCGGATGTACAGGATGTGCTTTACTGGTGTTGCTCTGAAATAAACGGAAAAGCAGATGTAAGTTTTCACCTTGAGGCACACCCTCCCACCGCTCCTCCCGAGCTCTTGTGACTCGTGTCAATCAGCCTGGAGCTAATCCTGCAGTACAGGAGCTGAATAAATATTCAGGTGGAGCAACCAGTTTGTAGATGAGCAGCTTTTCACCTGCAACGTGTTTCCCTTTCTGTTTGCAGCCTTGCTCTCTGCATAACGTTAGACTCATCAGAAAAAATATTATTAATGATCTTTCTAGGAAATTAATGTTAATAAAAGCTCTACCATTTCTGCGATTTTGTAAGAAAACTTAAGTTTGTTACGAATTACTTTTTTAATTAAATTCCAGCAGTACCTGATTTTAGCACTTTAGTTTATGACTTCTTTGAATGAGCAATTACTGTAAATACGTGTTTTTCTTTTTTATTTACAATAAATAAATAAATAAATAAATAAATAAATAAATAAATAAATAAATAAATAAATAAATAAAACTAAAGAAATGGTGAAAATACATTTTTACTTTAATTTATTATTTTGTTCCTTTTTCGTGGAAATATAATTAAGATGTTCTCTCTTTAAAGCATTTTGGCTGTAAAACATTTTCTGATTAATTATTTTTCTTAGAATTTACCTTTTCATAATGCAGTAATTTTGATATTTTAATTCACTTTGTATAATAGTTTTCTATTTTTTAAACAGTGTAGTCAAGACATTACTTTTTATTTATTAAATAAAAATACAAAAATAACAGCAAAAAAAGGAATTCCTAAAAAATAGATATTTGCAGCCAACATATTTTATTGTTATAATTTTTTGTTCATAATATCTGCTCTATCTTAGTTTTTTCTGCAATGTTTTTATTGTGAATTTTATATTTTGTCTGATTTAGTTTTTTGCCAAATCATATTCTGCACATGAATTGGTTCATTCATGTGCAGCATGCATTGTTTTCCTTTATCCTATTTTTAATATTTTTCAGAACTGATTTTTTAAGGTCACCAAATTGTTTGCACATATTTAAATGTCCATATTGGTTTTGCCCTATTTTATTGTTTTCGGCAAGTCAAATAAATAAATAAATAAATAAATTACAAAAAAAACTAACAAACAAAAAAAACTAACCAGCCCAAATTAATTACTGGATTTGATACCCTGCTTAAAATGCAATGATTTAACATGTTTTTTTCCTGTACATGCCTAATAAAACAAGGCATAATTTTGGTTTAAAAGCATTCTCGGCTCACCGTCCGTCTCCTCCTTCCTACAGGAGACAAACTGCAGAGGAAAGGGAGGCTGAGAGGCAGCAGGCCAACCGGCTGATGCTGCAGCTTCAGCAGGAAGCTTTCCAGAAGACGTTGAGCCAACCGCTGCAGCCAGATCCCCTCTGTCTGCATAACTCCTCCCTCTACGCCCTGCAGAACTTGCAGCCTTGGGCAGAAGACAATAAGGTGACCTCCGTCACCTCTGTGGCTTCTGTGGTGTGACCGTGTGGGTGTGAATGTGTGTCTGGAAGAGAAAAGGGAGGGAGGGGACAGGGACAAAGTTTGGAATGAAATGCCTATATCCAAGTGCCGTCAGAATAAAAAGGACAAAAGTGAGGAAATTCCTCATTTTCTTCTAAAATCTTCTCACTAATCTGGGAGATCATAGACAAAGGAAAATGGTGCTTGCTTTGCAGGGAAAGACTGAGTGGACATTGAGCTTCCTCACTCACTGATCATTACCAGCAACATGGTGGGGGAGCGAACGTAGACAGAGACGGCTATATGTTACTGTCAGGATCTACAGAAACACACTGTGCGGACCTCAGAGCACAGGAGCCACACTTAGATGCTGTTTGTCAAAATTAAGCAAGTCTACAAGTGTTATCTAAGAAATCTAAAGTCTGTTGAGTCATACCCTGCCTTACACCAAGTTTCCGCTTTTCCTTCAGCTGTCGGTCTAAAAGAGAAGAAGGCACTTTCCCCACTAAGTGCCAGGAAACAAATGGACACCTCTGTACATGCCCAACTACTGAGACTGCCCCTCATTTGCCTCCGGATCCATCCTGCAAGGCAGCAGGAGGCTCATTGCCAGTGACGGAAAATATACAGCCTCCATTTTTTCGCTTATGACTTTGTACAATGTAGTAAAATGCATGTTTCAATCCTTTTCTGTGTGCACTCGGAGGACCCACCGAAGTCAGCTGCAGTCGAGGTGGATCTCCTCCCCAGCTGCGGAGCTCAAGTAGTAGTGGATTGGTCCTGATGATGGATTCCTCATTATGTTAAAAAAGTGTTTTATATTAAAAGATATTGTGACTTTTTGAAATGATGACCAACTTCTCTGCTTTTCTTGCCTCTTTCTGTTGTTTGTTGGGTTCTTTCACCAACTGACTGTCTGTGTTTTTTATCTCCATTATGAAAAAGACGCAATAATGCTTTATGGTTTTTAGGAAGCAGTCAGCCTCATGGGATTTACTTGTGATTACGCATTAAAGTTTCAAACCACCCAAAGGTAAGATGCCAACAGACCTGCATCTGTAAGAGAGCACAGTAGCTATTTTTTAATCCATAAAAACTGATGACTACAGCTCCCATGTGTGCATGTGGAGCAGGGTGGTGCCAAACGACAGTATGAAAAACCCTCCATGGATAAATTAAAGTTTGAAATCAATACCAGCACAAGCTAAAACGTGGGGACAGAAAAAACTATGAGTTTTGCTTCCGTACTGCATAGGTTTAAAATGAGGAAACCTGGATTTGTTTGTTTGTTTTCTGCAATTTACTGTTTTCTAATTTTAAAGGAGCATTTGTTCAGCAGATCAGGAAGAAAACTTAATTACATTATATTTGTGTCATTCCTCCAGGTTGTCTCACACTTTCCAGTCTTCCTGTTTGCCTTGTCTCTTTTGGCTGTAAATGAAGATAAATACTTGCATTAATAGGGCTATTTTTTGTATAAAAATATATTTATATTTTGTGCAAGGTAAATCGACCTTGCACAAATAATTAATAACTCAGTGTTGTTATCATGCAAAAAAAAACAGAGATAATCAGATTTTCTTCATTAAGCAAAACAGCTATTCAAACCAACCTGGCCCTAATTTGAAAAACATTTAGACACTTTGTTAAATTATAGATTAGCTATGATCAACAAACATTTTGAATCTGGGTTAAGTTTCATTCGCCAAACCGACTATTTCCTAATTGTAAAATCATAAAATCTCTTAAAAAGAAATAAAATATTTTAAAAATGATTGGGACTCCAGCAAACCCAAGTGAAGGAACTTTACCCAGACATGGAGAAAATATGAAACCCTAGTAAATCTCAGTGCCTTGCCTACCTAAATTACTCCCAGAATGCATCAGCAACTCATCCAGAAGGTGAAAAAATCCTGAAAAAACATCCAAAGCACTTAGTGCATCAATTGACTCACTTAAGGTCAGAGTTCATTAACTACAGACAACCTGGGTAAAAATGACATCCATAGGAGAGTTCCCCGGTCAAAACCACAGCTGATCATGAAGAAAACAAAGACCCAACTCACATCTGGGAAAAATATTCTGTGTACTGACAAGGTGAATGTAGAATATTCTGGAAAATGTGCTTCTTGTTACATTATAAAACAAATGTAAAATTTCAAAAACATCAGCTCAGAAGTCAAACATGGTGGTGGCAGAGTGGTGGTCTGGGGAGGCTTTGCTGCTTCAGCACCTGTACAGCTGCTGTGAAACGGCATGAATTCTGCTTCCTGTCAGAAAATCCTGAAGGGAAATGCCCAGCTATCAGCTGTTCAGATCAAGAACACATTGGTTATGCTGTTGGACAATTATCAAAAGCACACCAGCAAGTCTGACTTGTGATGGCTAAATAAAGTAAAAAGTAAAACAAGTAAAAAAAAAGAGAAAAAAGTAAAAGTAAAGGCTAGTGAAGTGAAAGAGTTAAATCGGGACTCCTCTGGCCCGACCTTAAACAGGGTGTTCAGGTTAACTGCACTTTGCCTGAATTTAAACAGCTGAAGAGCGATGTCACAAACTCATTGCTTGTTATTGTAAATGGCTGATGGGATGTGAAGGGCAGCACAAGCAGTTATTAGAGTGAGGACCCCAAACTGTGTGTGTCCTCATCTTCTGTGCCTTTCAAGTGAAGTGGGCGTGGCCAGGTGTCAGTGGGCTACTGTTCCCAGTCAAAACTGGGTTTTAGCTTTGCTCCAGTCCAGGTTTGGTTCGTGTTTAATTTTTGTTTTGACTTGTTTGTTTTAAAGTTTTGTATTTTGTGTTTAATTATTACTGTTTTTGTTGTTAATTGGTTGTGGTGTGTCCTGTTTTAATCATGACCTCAGAGACTTTAGGTTTAGAGGAACATGACTTGAGCCAAGTTGATTTGGACAGGTTTTTCTCTTCATTTAATGAAATCATTGAAAAGTTTTTAGTTTTTTTTTATTTACTCTGGTTATGTTTGTCAAATGTTGTAATTTGTTTTATGTTCTGAAAGTGGGACAGAAGGAATAACTTTCAGAAAACTTCATTTGAATAGTTCCAGCATTATTTGCCTAACCTCAAGTGAACCTGATTCCATGCTGGTATTATTTATCAACTAAATGTAATGCTAGAACGGAAAAGCTGTGTTTGGAAACTAAGTACCTCTAAATATGGAGGAGCGGAGTTGGTAAGCTGCTCTGATACAGATGTGTGTTAACACAATTTCTTTCCCTTTGAGCAATAAGGTCATTTACATGCTCTTTGTAATACAGATCAGATCATCCAATGCTTTGAGTTCCTTCTGTATATAGCATGAGATTTCTAGATTTATGTTTCTTGAATAACGAGATGTTTAGTGAAATAAACACAGCACATCAGTAGAATTATCTCATAATGTCTACCAAGCATGGTGGTGGAAGGGTGAAGCTTGGGGATTGTAGTCTCTGAATCTTCTCTCCAACAGCTCATGTTTGGCTAAAGCTGGTTCCCGCTAACAATAGAGCAATATTGTATAAAAAACGTTACGTCTCAAAATTCCTCCCCCAGCGATATGTGAGAATGATAAAGTCGTGAAGATACCATCGGGCGCTTGCTGCTAAACGTGGGTGTGCAACCATCTTGCACCACTTAGTACCTCCACAGTTTTTGCTTCAACACTAGTGACAGTGTGGAATCTCTTGTGTGTTTCTAAACTCTAAGAGTTTGATTTTGATTATTCTAGAACCTGGGTAAGATCAAATCATTATCATTCCTCATTGACATGGAAAAATAACATCAATTACAAGAGGGCGCACCTTTTTACTGTAACTGTGTGTGTGTGTGTGTATATACTGCAGGCATGACAATAATGTTTTAAACTGAGCGCCGTTTGTCTTGGGAAAACAATCATTCCTGTTTTGGAGCGCGGCTCCTCCACCCTTTTGTCTGGTCTGATTGTTGTCTTTAAGAATCCTCGCCACCTACACACAGACAGTCATAAACATCTCGCTATCAATGCATCCAGTTTATCGTGGAAGTGTTTATCATCTCAGTCATAACAAAAAACAGCCTGTTTAGAGGAACAGTAAACACATCATTTACGTTCCCTGCTTGTAAATTAGCCATCATCGCCACAAACGTCCCAAAAAACGCTCCCTGTTGTACTCCGTCTCTTCTTCATGGCACCAAATTGCTCGTTTTTATTGGACTGTGAGCACAACACTGGCCTCTTGTTAGCCTTGGCTGTACCTGCTGATGACAAATACCACATTTCACAAGGAGTGTGTGTTTTGCTTAAGCCTCCTCATATTTGCTTTGAGCGGTTTGACAATGTGGTTCGAAACAGCTGTCTGCATGTGCACCCACCCCAGACAACCTGACACAGTGCCGGAGTAAGTCAGGTTTTCAGGACGTCTTGCCTGGTTAGGATCCTGTCAGTAGCAGGCAGATCTCCAGGTGACGCCTTCTCAACCCCCATTTCCTCCTCTCCATCCTGCTTTCATCTCTCACCCCCAGAGACCTTGAAGACGTGACTTGGCCCATTTCAGAAAAATTCCTGCGTTTGCTGTTTTCATACCCATGCTTTGTGTTTTCCTACAGGTGCTTAAATATTTTTTTTTTTTATGTTTTTCTTTTTTTTGTTGCTTTCTCACTGTCTTCCTTCTGCCACCAAACGCTGTGTCCTTATCCAATAAAATGTCACCACACGAGAAGGGCAAGCACACAAGGCTCACACTCTATCAGGCTTCCTATCAAGCACTTTGTTTTGAACAGAGGCACCTAAAAGCTATTCACTGCACAGAGTTATGTGTCACGCTCTGTCTATACTCATCCGTTGTTTCTTTTCTTGAGCAATAGAGTAAACATTTAAGGCAGCTGTTACAATTTCTGCTACTTTATCACTGAAAAGCATTAAAGTCTTAATTTTAATTTAAAACTAAATCGATTTGCAAAACTATTCAGTTTTGTTGCTATCAGATGAAATTGTTTTGCATTAGCAGTAAAATCCATTCACCATTTATAAAAATTGATTGACACCTGCCTATAAGGAATAATTTAGTGACTTTAACTTTCTGACTACCAGATGTAATAATATCACTCCATGGTGCTTATAACCAGTTTTATGCTTTGACAGCTGCTTGATTTCAGTAAAAAGCAAACGCTATGAGAAAGTGCCGAAGTGTATTAGCTCACTTCTAATGTGCTGACATGCAAAGCTTTGTTGACAAAAGCCTTCATGGTCCTTGACAATGAAATCCTGCCACGGTCCGTTAGCTTGAGTCACTTGGAAAATAATAAAAAACAACGGATATTTCAAAGGAATTATATTGAAGACAAACATGGGCACTGTGGATGTTATCGTACTTATGTATGCATGAAAGAATCCTGTATTCTCATGATATTTGGTCAGTAACAGCATAAAGGATTCTTCAAAGGCAAATTTAATAAAAGAACAAACATGAGCAAAATGAAACACTTTTAAGGT